ATCTGATGTCAGCTTTTCTGTTTATTCCAGATCATCTGGCAGTAGGGACTCGTATAATACAATTTAATACAGAAAAGCTAGGATCAGATCCTGGGATATAGGGCCTGTCTGGAAGGGCCATCAGCCTCAGAGGAAGGTAAAGCAACCCCACTGTAAACAAATCTTGCCAAGAAAACCCTGTGATAGGTTCACCTAAGATTGCCATAAGTAAAAAATGAATGGAAGGCACTCAACAACAACAACAACAACAACAAAAGGTAACGGTAAAGGTTTCCCCTGACATTAAGTCTAGTCGTGTCTGACTCTGGGAGGTGGTGCTCATCTCCATTTCTAAGTCAATGAGCTGGCGTTGTCTGTAGACACCTCCAAGGTCATGTGGCCAGCATGACTGCATGGAGCACTGTTATCTTCCCACAGAAGCAGTATCTATTGATTACTCACATTTGCATGTTTTTGAACTGCTAGGTTAGCAGAAGCTGGGGCTAACAGTGGGAGCTCATCCCACTCCCTGGATTTGAACCGCCAATCTTTCGATCAGCAAGTTCAGCAGCTCAGCAGTTTAACCCGCTGCACCATCAGGGGGCCCTTAACAGACAAAAGGGAATACAAATAACTACATTCACAAAAATCCCATGATGAAAGAGAATAAGATCAGGTTGCTCAGTCTGAATCTTTTCAGTAGTTTTCAGATTCTGAGTGTGATTCCATTCAAGTTGCATTCAAATCACTGGGATTTTTCCTAATACATTAGTGGATTGTATATTGGGTTGTAGGTTTTTTCGGGCTATATGGTCATGTTCTAGTAGCATTCTCTCCTGATGTTTCACCTGCATCTATGGCAAGCATCCTCAGAGGTAGTGAGGTCTGTTGGAACTAGGAAAATTGGGTTTATATATCTGTGGAATGACCAGGGTTGGAGCTAGGTGTGAATCAACTGACCACCTTGATTAGCATTTGATGGCGTGGCAGTTTTTTCCTGTGGCTTGTTAGTGCCTGGGGGAATCTTTTGTTGAGAGGTGATTAGCTGTTCCTGATTGTTTCCTCTCTGTTGTTTTGCTGTTGTAGTTGTAGAGTTTTTTAAAAAAATACTGGTAGCCAGATTTTGTTCATTTTAATGGTTTCCTCCTTTCTGTTGAAATTATCCACATGCTTATGGATTTCAATGGCTTCTCTGTGTAGTCTGACATGGTGGTTGTTAGAGTGGTGGTTGTTAGAAATGTCAGGAGAGAATGCCTCTAGAACATGGCCATATAGGCCGAAAAAACCTACAACAACCCAGTGATTCCAGCCATGAAAGCCTTCAACAATACATGGAATGTATATTGTTACAAGCAATAACAGTCTCATTGATAGTGTTATTGGAAGTGTAGCAGACAGAGGGAACTTTAGCTTACGAAACTTTATTCTGGAATGAATTTGCTCTTCTTTAAGTCACCACAGGGCTCGTTGACTTCTTTATTCTTTTCTTTTTTTTGCTGCAAAGACTTGTTACTAACTCACCTACCTCTTTGAAAATGGTTAGGAAATTGGATTTTTTAAAGTACTTTCTGAAAATCTAGTGATGAAAGTCCTTTTGAAATCAAAGTACGGAAAGGAGCATTTCTTTATGTACACATTGTTGCCTTGGCTTCTCCAGTAAAAAAAAAAAAAGTGTGGGGGGGGTGTTGTGTGCCTTGAAAAGAGGTTACATTGGTATGTTTACATTTGAGAGGCCTGTAAGCCACTTGAGCGGAAGCAATTAGAATGGGACCTGAGTCTTATTTCCCTGTGGGAAGTGGGGATAACTGAGCTCCATTTTGGCATGGAAGTTATCTTTTGTAATCAGGATTCGTCAAGGCTGTGATTTCTTTGTAGAACAGGTAAATAATAAAAGGAATGCTAAACCTTCCAGCAGCCTTTGTGATTATCCCATGAGGGACATGGTGGGGTGTGAAGCAAAGCACTGCATCATTAATAAGAACAACTGAGCATCATGAATTACAAGCGTGGATTATAAAGCTGTCTGTTTGCTTCCAGGAATTCAAGGTTCAGCCTTGATGGGGAAGGAGCAGGGATAAAATTAATCTGTATTGTTGCTGATTATTTTTGGCATGAAAAAGTTAACCGTTTAAAGATAACATAGTTTTGGTAGTGTTCCATACTGTATCGGATTTGATCCTATTTGGTAGGCTTTATTCTAAGTAAACAATGTTAGGGTTTGTGTTTATGTCTGCATGTCCACAATTCTACATGCTGTCTAAGAAAACCTGCTCAGAAATGCATTAATAATCCACATTTTCTATCAAGATTGTCCAAATCTTCCATCTCATAATGTCTCAGATGTAATGGTATATTTGCAACCATGCCACCTGTCACATACATAAGCTGGATGTATGTTTCAACTGTTCTAGGGAGTGCTTTGCTGCAGTAGATCAAAGACCAAGAAAATGGGTTTTGAGAGCCTGGAGAGCACTGTTGCCCTTTTAAAAGCTTTAAAAAAATAACCCTCTTTTTGGAAAAGATTTTTAAGGAGCAGGTGCTCCCGTACTGTATCTAACTGTATTTGCAAAGAGAATCAGTCATAGGAGTGCAGTGGTTTAAGTGTTGGAGTATGAATTTGGAGACCAGGATTTGAATCCCTTCTCTGCCATTGAAACTCGCTGTGTGCTTCGGAGTATTTATTTATTTTTTATTTATTCAGAACTTTTATATCCCGGTCTTCTCAACCTCCGCAGAGGGACTCAGGCTGGCTAACAACAGAAAATGCATACACAAGTAAACTAATAACATCATAACATCATAACACATTAAAATACAAACAGAATAAATACATAAATCACACATGTACAGCCTCAGAGAGGGACAAAAACAAATCTTTCCGAGAAACCTTGTGATAGTATCTCCTGAGGGTCACCATGTCGGAAAAGACCTGAAGGAACACAACAGCAACTAAAACAACAAGAAATATTTGCAGAGAAACAGGTTTCCACCAATCATTACTCAACTTAACACCCCCCCCCCCCCAAACACAGTGGTCAAAATACTGCCTCACAAAACCATCTCAAGAGRGATTCAGAATTTGATACTTTGGATCAGCTCTGGGATAGAAAACCAGTGTAATCTTTCCTGGAAACTCACCAGGGGCCAGCGGCAGATGGCTTGGGGATGGTCCTACTACCTCTTTACACGGGGCATTTTTGCCCCATTTTGCCACTTTGTTGCACAGCAAGGACGGGGCCTGCTGTGAATCATTTGGGTAGCTCCAATGGAGCTACTCACACTTTCCTCCCCTTTCTCCGTATGATGGGGGAAAGGGCAGTGGGCAATGTGCATTGCCACCCTTGCTCCCATCTGATGAGGACAGGGCAGTGTAGACTCATATAATCCAGTTCAAAGTAGATAGTGTGGATTATCTGATTTGATGATCTGGATTATGTGGCAGTGCAGAAGGGGCCTTAGGTGAGACAAGTAAGGCTGTGGTAGAGACGTTTCTCACTTTGTGTGCTGCATACAAGTGTTCACTCCTTTGTAAAGGGTTTCTGGTACTTATGCTGATATCTTTCATGCACTGGGTGAATAGTTTTTTTTTCTAGGCTCTTAAAGTTAATTCCCCAGTACTGTCCTGAATATGTTTTTATTGCCATGGAATATATTGAGCTGTATCCAGCAGAGGTTTTAAGCTAACAGAAGGAACATCTATTTGCATAAAGTAAGGCATTTAGTGTTTTCTTCTATATACTATTTTAGACCATCTTTTCCAGGACTTGGAGAACAGGAGACTCTGGCCCCTTTACACTGCCATATAAAATCCAGATTATCTGCTTTGAATCAGATTATATGGCAGTGCGGACTCATATAATCCACTTCAAAGCAGATAATATGGATCATCTGCTTTGATAATCTGGATTATATTATATGGTGGTACAGAAGGGGCCACTGTAGTTGGAAATGGTGAAACTCAAATGTCCCATTTTGGGCTCCAGAAGTGTTTTCTCCCAAGGCAAAGCTATCATTGAATTCAACCCATTCTATTTATTGCTTGCTTTGTAAACTGCATTGCAAGGATTTGTGCCATAAATGTCAGTTATGAAATAAATATATAGTTCTTAATATCCTTCACGATCTGGTTTTTAAAACTCCTGCCGAGTGTGCTTTACTGCTGCCTCTTATCTGTTTATTAATTCTTGTTTTATGGCTATTGGTTTGGTTTTAATCTATTGTTACACACCAGCCTGGATAGTTTTCTCCCCTTCTGAAGGGTGTTATGAACATCTTTGAAATAAATCTGTCTATATACACACATTTATTCACTCAGTTATTCACTTTATCCATCAAATGAAGTAGGCTGCTGCCTCTGAAATCTTATGTGGCATTAAATTTGCCCTTTTGCTGCATCCTTCAGCAAACCAGTATGGTTACTGTTCTGTAGCTCTTTGTTGTGCTTAGAGGAGCATCTGTGGGAGATTAATTTGGATATCAGGTGTTTGTGACAGGCAGCCATTTGATTGTGTGTGTCGCTGCTCGCCTGAGCTCTGATAAGGTTTCTTTTTCTAGACATTTCTTTTACACTGCATGATAACAAAAACGTGGTTCTTTCCATTGACATGGTAGAGAAGTTATAAAATAGCAAATTTACAGCTAAGTCTTATACATTGTCATTGTAGTGTGCCTTCAAGTTGTCTCCAACTTATGGGGACCCTACAGTGAATCTATCCTGAGGTTTTCTGGGCAAGATTTGCCCAGAGGGCATTTGCCTTCCCCTTTCCCTGAGACTGAGAGAGTGTGACTTGCCAAAGTTTGAGCACGGATTCAGACATTGTTCTCCAGGTGCCTGCTCAAAAATAAACCCTGTTATGTTCAGTGGGACCTGTTGCCTGGAAAGTATGTGCAAGATTGCCTTTCTAATTTTATACACCTTATGTCAATGAGCAAGAGATTTACTTTGCTGAGCTGTCTGGTAAGCCTGTATAAATACACTGACTCGACTGTCATATAAGTGTCTTAATTCTGGTTTCTCCTAGGGAGTCACAGCTTTGCTTTTGCTGAAGACAGGTGACTTAGTTATCGGCACGGGTACTGGAACTGTAGCTCTCTGTTCAGCATCCAACTATAAAGTAAAGAAGTGAGTTTCGGGGCTTTCATGGGGAAAGACATTAATTAGCCCATGAGGCTACACAATTTAATTATACACAATGTGATGAGAAAATCACACTGCTTGGCATGGCGTAAAATAGTACAAGTTGTGAAATGTTTTGATATCAGTTTTCTTCAAACTTCTAAACTTTAGATGAATTGAGTTCGATTGAGCTTATTTTCAAATAAGATTTCAGTTTTAATGATCATATCACTTCTTTCTACCACCGGAGGAATCATGTTTTTGGTTTTCTTACAAGAGGCATGCACTGTGGCTAATTTTGATACCTGCCTTTTAGGAAGTAAAAGAGCTGCATTTAAAAGTTCTGAGTTTTTCTACTAGACCTCTAAAAAAGAGCACATTTTAATGGGAAAACGAAATAAAAAATAATAATTTTGTCAAGAAGATTTCAGAACAGTGTTGTGCAGTGTGAATTATCACTGAAATTTTAATTGTGTTATTGACAGCTTTCAGTTTGCAGGTTTCAGTTCTGAAGCTCATATTTGTTTTGGTTCTCTTATGCAATTTCACAAAAATGAAATAACCAGACAATATCAGTTAAATGAAAAAAAAGTCATCCTTTTAATTACAAAGTATAATTAATAAGCACCGTGATATTTTTTTCTAACCCCTTGCTTTGAGTTATTCCCTGATTATTTCAAGTTCCTGCCAATAAGCCATTGGTACAGAAAGACTAAAGTGCACACTACTGAAAAACACTGCTTGGAAATGAATATTTTCTTTATAAAATATGGCATTTTCATTATAGGAAAGTTCAGTTGCAAGGTGCCATTACATCCATCACACCGCGAGGGCAGGGTCACCAGTTTTTTGTGGGGACTGAAGAGGCACACATTTATCGATTTTCATATTCAGACTTCAAGGAGGAGCTCATAGCCACCTGCCATAACGAAGCCATCCATGATATCATTTTCCCATAGTAAGTATTGTGACCCAAAGTATTGTGAGGAAAAAGGCATTCCAGTCTTAACAACTTCTGTCTAACCCAGTAATGGCATGCTTTACTGGCCTTTATTGATTTACAAAGCAGGCATTTACCTAGGGTTAATATAATCAGTGAATAGTAGCCATTTAGGTCTGTAGCCACCTCATAATCTCACAAACTTGAATAGCCACAAAGACATGGTTACAAGGAATCCCCAAGTTATGAACAAGATTCTGTAGGTTTGTTCTTAAATTAAATTTGTATATAAGTTGGAACATGTACATTTTTAATTGTAACTCCAGCCAAATATCTGTCTGTCTGTCTGTGTATCTTCTCTCTCTCTCTCTCTCTCTCTCTCTCTCTCTCTAAGCTTTGGATAGCATAAGGAAGGGTGAACACTCCTATGGTGTTTGTTTTGCGGTCTGTGCCCCTGTTGCCTCACTTTCTGTCCCTGTGGTAATTGATTTTTGAAAAAAAATGTTGGTTGTGGAAACAAGGTTTGGTGATAAAGCTTCAGTACAGATACTTTTCCCCCCCATGATAACTCTTTCAGAAGTGAATTTTCTTTCTGAGAGGTTGATTTCTCTCACTTCCTGTTGTCTCACCCTCGTTCTTAACTATGAGTTGTTTGTAAGTCAGATGTTTGCTACTCAGGGACTATCTGTATAGTTTTTTACAGTTTGATGCTGTTCTGGGCTCAGTTCATCCCTACTGTAACAATACCATGGTTTCTTTGCTTGGGCATATCGACCCTGTCTTGGAACAGTTTCAGTATGGTCACTGTAGCTTTAAGCGCATGCAAGAAATGAGGCAAGCACATCTGCTTTCTTAAGAAAGACAGGGGTAAACATAGTAAAAAGACAATACTAGGAGCAGCTCTACAGGGCTTGATTGGTGCTGGTTCTTTCTAATATATCTGGAATTGAGCTGATTTTAATGTTTTAGTTTTGGTGAACTTTGTGCAGAAGGAGCATGTTCAAAGGCTGAACAAACTGAAAAAGATGGAAAGAATCAGTTGTGTATTCTGTTAATGAGTTTGGAGAGATAACATGAGTCCACTTTTGCTCACTCAGACTGTCTTTGAAAATGTGCATTGATGTTTGAGTAAATATTCCAGGGCTTCTTATACTGATTGCAGATTCTGTGTGGCAAGTAGACTTATAAATGGTGTTGACAAAAATACTCCCAGTCTGGTTCTGGAAGGAAGAGGTTTTTGCTTGACTTTGAATGAACATTTGAAGGTGAAAACGATTCTGTTTCTAAGTTTTTTTTACTTTGGCTTCAAAGGAAATGTTTCTCTGACAGTAGATTGTATTTGTGAGAATGATTTAACAGGTGAGAAGAAATTACCTTCTCTATTGGCCTTGCCATGGGGTAGAATCATCTGAAAATGTTTTCGATTCACATTGAAGCCACTCATAGAAAATCAGCTTGCATTTGTCTGTGACTATGAAGTGTACCTAACTGAATGACATTTTATCTAGAGACATCACTGCCCTATTTACTGCTCCCGGAGCCCCTGAATGTAATATACATAATCCATGGCTAGCACTGCCCAGCCACATCCATGATAATGCAACAATTCACAAATTGGAGTTAAACTCTTGGCACGCCATGTTGTCTATCCTGGTCCATCATCCATTTATATTTTCATGAATAGACAGAGGGATTTTTGCGGTCAGTACGAAGACTGCGACATTTTGTAGAGACAATGCCTCAGTTGCTGTCTTCTGGAAGTGAAGCCTGGCAGCCTGAAAGAAAGGGACACAGTGGGCTTTCAGGGCAAGGCATCATCTTCCCTATAGTCAACATATTACCAAAGTAGATAAAAGGGACTGCTGGAAACAAATATAGGCTACAGTGTCATCAGAGCACTAACCGACTTAACTCTGAAATACTTCAGAGTACTGGTGCTGCTCTGCTATGTAGGGAAGATGGATGGATGATTGATGTAGGACTAAGACTGACAGCATGTTTTTCTTTTATCCAATTTGGGAATGTGGAAGGAGACTTAGAGTGGCAAAACATGATTGGATGGAGGGACAGGTAGTCATGGACACTGAAATGCCATATTCTCAAAACAACACTGCAGGGAAAGGCAACTGTGTCTGGTTTGGGGGTCAATTTTGTACCTCCAGATCTTATTCTGGCATATTCATCCTGATGCTAACTGCTTCGGAAATTCAGTTTGGTATAAACTGGAAGGAGAAAAAAACCTATCAAATTTATTCAAAATATTTTTCTTCTGTTCTGTTTTTGCTTTAAAACAAGCTGTGTCAGGAATTAGGAATAAGTGCCATGTTGGAGAGGAAGCACGCTCCTTTAAAACTGCAGGAAATATTATTTTTTAAAAAACCAGGTGCCTGCATGTTGCCCCCTTTCTGTAAATGTTTCAAGTCTGAGCCAGATTTTTAAAGAAGTATGTCTCCTCCATTTCCAGAAGCTTTTACTTCAGGGGGATATTTCTCCATTTTCTCTCTTGGCCTGTGAGATCACGCTTCTCTCTACATCATAACTGTACAGATCCAGTACTACACCCATTTTAATTTTTTAAAATATGTTGAACTAGACACTTGTATATGAAGCTAAGTAACACATAATGTATTGCTATTTTTTAAGTAGCAAAGTTATCTAAAATTTGTTTAGGGGATTAATACATTCACTTTTTTATTGAAATCTCCCCATGGTCTCAATATTTCTAGAAATTTAACATCTCTAAAACAAGGTGTTATGAAATAAACCTACAGTTTGTTGGGTTGTTGTAGGTTTTTTCGGGCTATATGGCCATGGTCTAGAGGCATTCTCTCCTGATGTTTCACCTGCATCTATGACAAGCATCTTCAGCGGTAGTGAGGTCAAACTACAGTTTGTTTCTTGATATCCTGTCCTCCATACTTTTTATCTTTTCACCTCAGAGGAAGTCATAACTTTCACCTTGTGATCCTGAACTTTCATCTGGAATTACCTGGAGAGCAAGGTTTGACAAAAGCCAGATTTCACTGTCTGTCTTGGTGACTTCATTCTCATTTGCTTTCAATTTATCTGTAAATTTTACTTAGAAGCTAGAGTCAAGTTCATCAACTTTCTTTTTAATAGGAGAATAAATTAAAAACCTATGTCTGAGGAGTGGATACAGAGATGTGGGACTTCATTTTGCATTCTAATAGGAATAGATCAATATGTCTGTTTATTGTGCATCCCTTCCTGAAATCGGTTTTCTGCGTCCCACAGTGGTACATCAGACCTCTTTGCCACCTGTTCCAAGAGTGACATCCGTGTGTGGTATACACCTGAAAATAGGGAGCTGTTACGAATAACTATTCCCAACATGACCTGCCATGCCATAGATTTCATGAGAGATGGCAAGAGTATAATTTCAGGTGAAGCATTTTGCATTGTTCAGTTCATTGGAAAATTGTATCCATCACCAATTGTTCCCTAATTTTAAGTAGTGGTTCTGACTCTAGACAGATCATTAAACTCTTCCCAGGACATGCACTGCGTACCTATAGCACTGCAGAAAGTCTATCATTGTGTGGTTGAAAGGGATGGTTGCAGGATTTTGAATCAACAAGTAGAGTGGGCTATGATTCTCGGCTGCATAATTTAGAGTCACGCAGGTTTGTTTCTATAAATCTCTGTTGGCCTAAACTATACAGCTGTTTCTTTTTCTATGGAAACCACTGGGGTTCCCCTGCTCAAGAGAGATGCAGCATGCTCCATGCATTCATCCATCTGTTTAGCATTTTCCCTAGAGGGAATAAGTGATCAAAGCCATGTAGTCTGGATGTTGCTGCACTATATAAGGAGATTGCAGACGTGCTAGCGGCAGCTAACTACAAGGACTGTGATGTAGGTTTTATTTTATTGGGTTTTAAAAAATAACTTGATTAGTGAGAAGTTGGAATACATGCTTTGCCCTGAGGAACCTCTTTCTATTTTGCATTAGCCTGGAATGATGGAAAGATTCGTGCCTTTACCCCAGAAACTGGACGGCTGATGTATGTGATAGAACATGCTCACAGCATGGGAGTGACGGCTTTGGCCGGCACAAGTGACTGCAAAAGGATAATCAGTGGAGGAGGTGAAGGGCAGGTAATCAAAGAAGCATAGAGTTGGAAGAGGCCGCAAGGGCCACCCAGTCCAGCTCCATTCTGCCATGCAACTACACACAAATTAAACTCCAAGGAGCTGCTTTGTAGATTTTGTCAGCATGCATCGTCACTTACTGTTAATAATGACAAAGTGCGAAATGTGCTGTTGCAGATAAGTAAGGTTTTCCCCCTTATGAAAAACAAGTCAAGTTTTCAGCTGGGTGTCATCATACAATGAAAGATTTAAGCACTGAATGTACTTGTTTGAAGCAGATCTTAAAGCCTATGACGTTCCTAATTCATATCTTGTTTCAGCCATTAATGTTTTCAGGTGGCCTTAAGCAATCAGCTACTACCTGGCTGTAAGTCCTTTTATAATAAGGAGATGATACTGGCTGAAAGTATATAGGTTGGTCCAAAAGTTACTGAAATAAAATATCCTGATGTGTTTTAAGCACTTCATATGTTGTGGAAACACACAATGTTTTTCAGTTGGTTCTGCTGTTGGGTTGCAGGTGAGAGTATGGGAGATCGGCAAGGAAACACGCAAATTGGAGGAGGTAATGAAGGAGCACATCTCTTCTATTTCATGCATCAAGATCAAAAAGAATAACCAGGAGTGTGTCACAGCTAGCATTGATGGAACGTGCATTATCTGGGATCTTGTGTAAGGACTACTCTTGCTTATAAATGTGGTTGTCTTTTGCTCATTTCTCCGTTCACACAACAGGGATCTTCAAATGTTTTCAGCAGAGAGCCGGTCCATGGTTCCTCAGACTGTTTTTTAAACTAGAGTTTGGGGGGGAAAATGAACGAATTCCTATGCAGGCTGCACATATCTTACTTGTAGTGCAAAAAAAAAAACCCCACAAAAGAACAATGAAATATTTAAAATGAATATTATTTTAACCAACATAAACTTACCAGTATTTCAATGGGAAATGTGGGCCTGCTTTTGGCTGATGTTAATTTAATTAGTATTAATATCAGCTTTTGGCTGATGATAAGTTAATTAATAAGTTAATCCACAAATATATAAACCTCATTTGCCTAGTTTCCAACAGACCTCGCAACCTCTGAGGGTGCCTGCCATAGATGTGGGCGAAATGTCAGGAGAGAATGCTTTGGAACATGGCCAATCAGCCTGGAAAACTCACAGCAACCCAGTTAGGATTGTTGCTGTGTGCCTTCAAGTCATTTCAGACTTAGGGTGACTCTAAGTCTACAGTTTAGGACCAGGGCCAGGTAAATGACCTTGGAGGGTTGCATCCGGCCCATGGGCTTTAGTTTGGGGACCCCCAATCTAAAAAGTACCAGGCTTGATGAGGTAGTCTCCCTTCGCCCAAATTGCAGAGTATCTGTGGAAATTTTGGTTTCTGCTTTCACATCTGTGAGCAGCAACAATATCAGATAAGTGCTTAGAAACCTGGAGTTATTGATGTAGGAGTTCGATTTGATATAGCAATATATAGCTACAAAACTCAGATGATTTTTTTCCTCTCTAGCCGCTTTATGAGGCGTCAGATGATTTTGGCCAACACATTGTTCAAATGTGTCTGTTATCATCCTGACGAACACCAGCTTATTACAAGTGGCACAGATCGAAAGGTGAGTGACCAAGTTGGGCAATGGGAAGCACCTTGAGAGGGGTTTCACAAGACTAATCCTGGTTGCATGTCCAATTTACCTTTGTCAGTGAACATATGAACCCACTTCCTGGATTCTCTATCAAAGAAGCCCTGCACAGTTTTTCTCTATCAGATTTCTCTCTGACTTTCAGATTGCTTACTGGGAGGTGTTTGATGGATCCCCAATCAGAGACTTGGAGGGCTCCCTGTCTGGCTCAATCAATGGCATGGATATTACTTCAGATGGAGCCTACTTTGTTACAGGTAAATTGTACAGATTAAAAGATGGGCCTCATAGTGGTCTTGTCCTATACTGAGATGTCCCTGCTACATTTTCTCATAATTTCAGTATGCTGGCAGGAGGTAATACCGTTGAAAACTGAAAACAAGTCAGATGTGCATTGTAGAAGTCAGATAGAAGTAAAGATTTGGCTCAGGAAAATATAGTGGGGGATAGTAATCAAGTAATCTGAAAGGCGATTGCAGGCGAGATTGCTCTGTAAAGTTCTCCTTGATATCCATGGTTAGACTGGAGAGTCATGGCTCTCGTGCCAACTTGTTTGCTTTAAAAAATGTTCCTTCTTGAGAGGTTTTCACCCATGATGGTAAGGATCTTGAATGGTTTCAATATCAGTTCCCAAAACCATTCTGTATATTAACTAGATATTACTTTTTAGCTGAACTTGCTGACCAAAAGGTCAGCAGTTCAAATCCAGGGAGTGGGGTGAGTTCCCATTGTTAGCTCCAACTTCTGCCAACCTAGCAGTTCAAAAACATGCAAATGTGAGTAGATCAATAGGTATCACTTCTGTGGAAAGGTAATGGTGCTCCATGCAATCATGCCAGCCACATGACCTTGCAAACGTCTACAGCTCTTTGGCTTAGAAATGGAGATGGGCACCACCCCCCAGAGTTGGACATGACTAGACTTTGATATCAAGGAGAAACCTTTACCTTCACTAATTCTCAGACTATTAAGCCATGTGTAGCCACAGGACCAGCCATGCATAAGATGCAGAGGTATCGGCAGATTTGGGAAAACCCGAGATTTGCAGAATTTGGAGGGACACAAAGAAAGTAAAAAAGTTGGAAGACAGTTTCCAAACTTCTAAGTGAGGACATATTCAGTGGACACAGAATATCAAGATTTTGCTGAAGGAGGGGGATCGAAAATGGAGTAAAAGAAGGAGAGGATTGAGTTGATTAACATAGAAAAAGGTGCAGCTGTCTGGCTGGAACCCTGAATAGGACCACTGCACACTGCAATATTATGTACCTAAAAGAGTGCTGGCAGTCCTAACGAAAAGGATAATATTTTTGCCTTCTCTTCATCACAGGAGGTGATGACCATCTAGTGAAGGTGTGGGATTACAATGAAGGCGAAGTGACTTTTGTTGGCGTTGGCCACAGTGGCGATATTACTCGCCTGAAGATCTGTCCTAATAACAAATACATTGTAAGTGTGAGTGCTGATGGTGCCATCCTTCGCTGGAAATACCCTCATGTCCACTGATGACACTGGACACCATTCCTGCAACACTTTTTAAAAAACTGTTTTGTTTTTTTAAAACCCATATATGGATTCTAAGGTTTAGAAAGGTTTGCTGCCCTTAAGAGAAATACTGTATCATTTTGTTCTTTGTTGTTTGAGAAAAAGAGCTAGTCTGAAATAGTTAGAAAGTTTTGATATTATTGACTGTAGAACCAAATGACCACTGTTTGTAATGGATTCAGTTGGTGCTTAGTCATATGACATTGTGAGTCTCATTCCTGACACACATATTTTTTGTTTGTGATGTATTCTGTTTGAGATAAGTTGTATCCCCTTCCTTCACAATGAATTCTATGCTGTGCAACTCTGTAATTCTGTGATTCTTTAATCCTCCTTTCCTTAAAAAACAAAACAAAAACAAAAGGCATGCATCAGAGCAATAAGTCTCCATTTGGAAGGGCTCTCAGAAAATTATTATACCCTAAAGATGCAGTGCGCACAAACTGCAGGAGTCTGAAAATTTAGAAATATGAGCAACTACCTCATTTTGAGTCACACCATTGGCTCAGTGTTGTCTGTGCACCAACTAGCCCTGGCTCTTCAAGATGTCAGACGGGCATCTTTCCCATCCTTGTTCACATGAAGCCAATACTTTCTTCTAAAAATAATCTTATCCATTGTTTTCTTCGTATCTCTAGAGAATACACACCCCCTCGTTTCTACAGAAACTTATGTCATTTGCTGATTATTACTGTATTACTGTTGTAGCTGTAATTAATGTTGTAGCCATAATCCCTAACAATTCAGATTTGGAAGCTTTTCCTGCTATTACCATCTCTAAAAATTATCCCACTGAACTAAAATCTCATACATTTAATTCAGCAGGAGAGAAGTAATTTAATCCAACCAGAGATAAAAGCTAAATAGCTGCAATAGCATATCTTGCTCTTGCTGAGAGCATTTCAAACCTTGCGGTTATGATTGGATCACCACAGTCCTTCACACATTTGCTGAGAAGCAAGCTGCACTTAGTTTGGTGGAACGAACTCCCAAATGAACGTGGGTTGGATCTAAGTGTCTTAGTTACCTTCAAAATTGTTTTGCATTTAATTTCGGAAGTCTAGTAACCTTTCTAAGTTTTATACCTTATCTAGCCTTTTAGACTAGGGCAATTTTTGTTTTTAAAGTATTGGTACTACATTTCCACATATCAGCAAGGAATCCCACTGGAGGATTGCAGCACGCCCAAATACCTGGGAGCTACCCTGGACCGTTCTCTGACCTACAAGAAGCACTGCCTGAATATCAAGCAAAAAGTGGGCGCTAGAAACAATATCATACGAAAGCTGACTGGCATAACCTGGGGATCACAACCAGATATAGTGAAGACATCTGCCCTTGCGCTTTGCTACTCTATGCATGAGTATGCATGCCCAGTGTGGAACACATCTCACCATGCTAAAACAGTGGATGTGGCTCTTAATGAGACATGCCGCATTATCACAAGGTGTCTGTGTCCTACACTGTTTAGCCGGTATTGCACCACCGGACATCCACCAGGAAGTAGCAACCAATAATGAAAGGACCAAGGCAGTGACATCTCTGGCCCATCCCCAGTTTGGATATCAGCCAGCACGCCAATGACTTAAATCAAGAAAAAGTTATCCAAGATCTACAGAGACACTCGCTGGAACACCTCAGCAAGCGAGAGTCCAAAAGTGGCAGGCTAAAACCCAGAACCTCAATCAATGCTGACACCAAATGATAGACTCCCTCCTGGGCACATAGAAAACTGGGCAACTTGGAAGTCACTGAACAGACTGCACTCTGCCAATACTGTTCACTGCACTGGAAAATGAGCTGGTGCACAGTCTGGAAGCCTGAGGGGAATAAAATTGGAGGATCCACTTTGTTTTTTGTTAATCCTTGATAGGGAAAATGAGGGAGAATATGCAAGACAAGGGCTGGAGCATAAAGCCAAGTTTCAGCATTGCCTTATTTTGAATGGAAGTAGTTTTAGATTGAAAATCTGTCTAACGTAGCTTCTCTGATGGACAGGCAGGTCTTGTTGATCTCCAAGTGAATTGATCAATAAGGATTTCTGATCCTCTGGGTTTTAACAATATCAATAATATTAAGTCCACTTTGGACCATCACCATGTCCTGCACTGCAAGATGATAGAAGAGAGCCTGTAATGAATCGAGTCAGATCAGTTTGCAGCCCCTTCTATTACTTTTCTTCTTTTTCCATGGCATAAAGTAAGCAAATATCAGAAACATTTCTCCCATCTAGCCAGTCCAAGAAGTTTGTCTCTCAGTAATAGCTGAGTGGCTGAGGAGTCTTGGCAATTTTGGATCTGGTATGTGGTATTGAGGCTCCTCTTTAACATCTGTGGTTTCCCTACGTGGTCATGCTGTGAATACGCACATATGGTACTTCTTGAAACAGCAAGTTGACAACTTTGAGTAGGAAAGGAAAAATGAAGCTCTTTGCTTTATTGTTCCCCCTCATGCTGATCTATTTACAACAGGGATGTAATGCAAAGGACCTCATCAGATGGAAGTCTAGAAAACCATGGAGCAGCACCCAGCTTCATTCCTTTACCATGGTTGATCATAGGCTGCTATCCCATACCAGTTCCCGGCTGGCCCTGGCTTCCTCGTGCGCTGCCCCAGCTTCTACAATGAGGATACGGATAGTCTCCTGTATCCTAAAGGCTTCCTCTTAGAATGCTGCTGGGACGGAGCCCAGCAGAGTCTTGCTGGAGGTAGCCCTGCATCAGACAATGGGCCCTGGTGGACTCCATCCCACCAGCGAACTAGGACAGGGAAAAAACCATTTGATGAGGTCCTTGGATGTATTATTTATTTATTTCAGATATGGTCTTGTATTTATACAAAATTATAGCCAGCACACAGCGGTCTAGTTTAAGTGCCAAATTTGAAGAAGGCAATTTCCCTGCCTCAGTTGTTACATGATGTGACAAAGGAGTTCCAGATATGTGCATGCTAGTAAACACGACACTGTTACACTTATTTAAAGTGAGATTTTTCTCACAAATAATATCTTATGTTAACTGATCCAAACTCCTGCCTGAAGGCGAGAGATTGAATTCAGAGCTCTTGTATCTTCATAACTTGGTGACTGTACAATCAAATAGCTCCATTTACACACAAGTTCCAACTTTTATGCACAGCAGATAGACGGAGGTCTCAACACAGTTCACTGTTTCAAGTGGGAATTGTCCTTGACATTCTTATTTTTGGATCAGTGTTTGCCACCTCAGTGTTTCATGCCTCTTCTAACCAATCTTCCCCTCAATTGTTCTTGTCAGGTCCCCATTTTTCCAACAAAAAAGATTAACGTGATTTTAAGTCCTGACATATATGGAGTGGTTTTCTTTCAGCTTTCTTTTCTTACTAGTTAAAAGTTAATTTCCAATTCCAATTTTAGGTGACATTGTAGTTTTAATGAAGCGAGTAGATAAAGTACAGTCAGTCCCCAGGTTATGAACAAGATTGATTCTGTAGGTTCATTCCTAAGTTGAATTTGTATTGTATGTAAGTTGGAACAGGTACATTTGTATGTAAATCGGAACAGACCCAATGCACACTCCTGACTGGCATGCAAAGGGAGTGCCACCTCCATCCCCATGGTATAATGCTCAACAGAAAATAGTGTACTCTTTACATTTTGGCCAAAAAAGTGTGCTTTACAGCTGCTGCTTCCTTAGAATTCTTTCTTTAAAAATAAAAGTGTCAGAACACAAAAGCTGGAATGGAAAACCAGAGAAATAGAAAACTTCCCACAAGGAGCCTGTCTTGCTTATCTTGCCTTAGCGTCCTTGATATGCATCCATTCTGTGGAATAAATGTAGCTTGACCCCACTTTAACTCTCTGGCTCAGTGCTGTGGAATCCTTGGAGCTAGAGTTTTACAAGGCCTTAAGCCTTCTCTGCCAAAGAATGCTGCTACATCGCTAAACTACAAATCTCAGAATTGTATAGCATTGAACCATGGCAACTAAAGTGGTATCAGATGTGAAGGAATGGAAATGGAGGGAGAGATACAGGCATAAAGGCAAGGAAAGGCAAGGAGAGGAAAGGGGACATATGTAGAAATGGGAAAGAAAGGGAGGAGAACAGATACAAACACAAAAAAGGGTGAAGATACAGAAACAAAGAAAAGGAAAAGGAAACTGGAAAGCTGGGGAGATGTACATGTATGACCCTTCAACACTTACCTAAAACCCAGGAGGAAGTGGGTTAAAATAACCCACTTCCTACTGAGTTTGAGTCCCCACTCCTGCCCACAACCCCAGGATTTCCCTTGGTGGGTGGTTAGATGGCATCCCAGATCAATAAAAGGTTGATCCGGGAGGGCATCCAGCCCCCCTCCCCGCCACCCCTCAGTCCCCCCCCAACCTCCTGCCTTGTCATTTCCAAGCATCAAGAAGACTCCGCAGAGGGACCTGTGTTGCCTGCAGGCCCTCCAATCAGTTTGGGGGGCAAAGAGGAAGCCCAAAGAAGCAGGATGGCTGTGGGGACTGACCTCAGAGACTCCGGAAGCAGTCCTGAAGGTCAGTACCACCAGGGCCCTCACCTCAAAAGACCCAGACCTTAGCTTAAGGTCTGGATCTTTAGAGGCATTTAATTGATGTGGGGCAAACCAGGAAAGCCCAGTTTACTCTGCATTAATTAGCTTTTACCTGAGGCATCGTTTGGACGCCTCAGGTAAAAGTGAAACATTCCGCATTTTGGGCCTGTCTGGAAGGGCCCTTCGACACACTTTGGCTCAGCGCTAAGATTTCATGGCAAGAAGGGGAGAGGCCTATTCATAACTAGGAGCCTATGCATAAGTTGGATGTTCCTAACTGCTTGTACTTATCAATGAATATGCAAAGCATTAATTGCCAACCTTCCCTGGAGTTTGGAAAGGTTTTTCAGGAAACTACAAGTACCAGGATCCTCCATCCAGAATGGCTGCTGACCATCTTACTGGTATGATTTCTAGTTGTGATCTAAAAAGTTAATATTGTCAAACTCTGGTCTTTTCACAAGAAGATGTATATGTGATCAAGGAGGAAATTTGGTGTTTTGATTACATGGGTTTCTTTCCACAGATTTCACCTTTTCTGCTTATTGATATACTCCTCAGCCATACTTTATGGTAATTTTTGTAAGAAAAGTATGTGATGAAATTGTGTCAAAATGAAAGGGATGAAGGTACAGTATTTCTATTTACATTGACAAATACCCACTAGAGGGCAGCCAAACACTTTTCTACTCCACATGGAAGAAGTTTATAGATTTTGGTTTTTACAAAATAAATTTCCTTTAAACAAGCTGCTTTGTAAAATCAATT